GGCAGACTACCTAAAATATATTTCAGCTTCCTTTTACCAGATGGCTTAGCCTGCTTGAAAGGAAAACAAGATTGCTAAGCAGCATTATATCTTCATTAGCTTTCCACAACTAAGTCCTGGAACTGACTGCTTTGTTACAGTTGAATGCATCAACAAACAAATACAAGGTTAACTTATTAACTAGGAGTAATACTTCTTATCAAGTACCATCCCAAGTTTTTGCCAAATTTTGGTGGTTTTTTTCCTGTATAGTCTGTAAAGAGTTTTACACTTAACCTTGCATCAGCTAATCAGAAGAGATGCATCCTTTGGCAGGCTAAAATCCCATCTACTATCAACTTTGTCGTGTTTGTACAAACACACCCTTTGTTCTGCTGACATTAAAGCACATTACAGTGTTTTACAGGGCCCTCCAAATAAAACCATATGAAATACAAAGCTTTCATTTAGGACTGTTCCTGAGGCTGGCAAAGCTCCTTGTTCTGCCTGTCAAATGAGCCTAGACTTTTATTTTGTGTTGAAATTTTCAATTTATCAGAAGCACTGCTCCATTTTTACATTAGCATTAATCCCAATACATGCTCATTGCAGACAAATGTACTGGGAACTGCAGGTAGACTAGGTCTCAAGTCTCACTCTGATGTGCATTAAAAATCCTAATGCATATCTAATTATTCTAATTAATTTTCACAGTCCAGTAAGACAATTACATTTGATACTGATGCAAATTGTTAGAGTCTATTTAGAATCCTACCTTTCAACTGGGCATCACAACAAACTCAAAAGAAACTGTAAAAAACATTCAACAATAACTCTGGATTGAAGATTCTATGAAGGTCACCAGTGGGACAATTTTTGGGACCCGTGTTGAGCCCCTCAGAACACTACTTTACACAAAGTCTGAGTGTATGCAGCATGGCTGTGTTTTTCAGTAGTTAACATCATTAAGGAAAGAAGTAGCAGTGACTGGGTCTCTGTCTTGTAATAACTGCCACTGGGAAAGGACCATGAACAACAAAGCAGCTCTTATGAAGCAGAATAATGACTTCCTGCAGACCAGGTAATGCCCTTTTACCCATAGCCTGGCTCAAGAAAACTAAACAAGAGGCCATTAAGTGATGAACTCTCTTCGCCTGAGCAAGAGTTTTGAGGAAAAGTGAGAAAATCACACAGCAGATGGATGTGAAGGCATGAAAGGATTAAGTGTCCATGCTCCCACTCACAATAGACACATAAATCCTTTGATATGCAAATGGTGAGACTAGGAGAAGGGAACCAAAAACTCAGGTGGATTCACACGTAAGTCATGAAAAGCTGCAGTGGACAGCCAGATGTTTGCATACCTTATTTTGTATGGGACTCTATATACTTAGCCTACAGTCCAGGAGTAAAACCTGATTGGTTTAGAAAACCTGAAAAAATATGCATTTTAATGGTTACACATTTTTTCTATTTTTTTTAGTACAAGTGTTGAACTGGAAACCAGTGTCACAAGCAGGGTGTTCTGGGATACAGCTCACTGGAGAATGGAAAAGAAAAGTAGCCTCAGACATATAGTAAGCATGCCCTATTTCTGCTAAATGAGCAAAGAACCTCTCTGTCTGGCATCAAAAGCACTAATCAAGAGGGTAAAGAAATTGTGCCTGAAATCTACTGAGCCAAGAGGACTTGGCTCAGTACAGACCTCAGCAAGATGCCTAAATACATTGTCTGATGGGATACATTGTACAAAGCTTTGGAAGTACTGGAAATGAACTATACACAAATCAACAACTTGAAATTAGTAATATATAATTTTAACATAACATACTTACACATTAAGAGGATGCACATCTGAGAGAAAAAAAATCCTCTAGAACATTAATAATGGTATCTAGAAATAAATCTAAATCAAAATATGTTAGCAGAATGTCTGCTAAATCTGGAAAATTGGGAAATTTAAGGGAGGTTCTCCAGTTCCTTACAAGATCAATATACACATTGCTGTAAAGACACTTCTGAGCCTGAGATTCTACACCAAGCCGAATTTCTAACTTTTAAAAGATGCATTGTAACAGGAGATGTGCTTTAAAGGAGTTCAAACACCAACATTTTCATTGGCTTATTGGTGAGTTTTCTGCTTTTGGAAGAAACAGAGACAAACTTTTTGGCATAATTTTCTACAGATGTTCTATGTTTCAAATGCTGACCTGAATATTTTTTCTCTGCTAAATGTTAATATAGATCTCTGCCTTGGATGATGAAAATGAATTTCAACAGAACAGGTATCTCCACTAGGGTCATGCCCTGAGAAACTAACTCAACATGTCAGATTTTCTTCAGTGTCAACATCACCTCGGTGCAGGAATCTGCCAGAGAACTATTTACAATCAACCAAAGCTGACATCACTCTTTTGGAGGAAGATAATAGGAAATAAGATAGTCCAAAGAAAGGAGTATATTGACATCACTGTTTTGGAGGAAGATAATAGGGAATAAGATAGTCCAAAGAAAGGAGTATAGCTCCCAGAAGGATTTTAAATCCAGATCCAAGGGATGTTTATACAATGTATTGCTTTTAAAAAAAAATTAAGAAAATTAATCATCCCCAAGTCATTGGTTCTGGTTCCCACATAATACAGGAACTTTTCATAATTTTACATGTGCAGACATAATAAATGTATCTTACAAGTGATTCACCTGATTAGAGTCTCCTTTATAGCTTTCTGTAAAGCAAGAAACTGCTTCTGACATCAGAAAACTGGCTGACATATTCTAAATACATACTAGAAATAAAACTCACGATTATTCGAGTACTGCTCTAGTGCAGAGCTGAAGAGCACAAAGAGATCATTACAGGAAGTCTGAACTATATATATTTGTACTTTTCCAGTTTATTTAAGCTCTTTCTGCACAGGAGATAATTACAGCATTAACTCTTATAGAACTAAGCAAAAACATATAGCGATGGGAAGAAAAAAGAAGAGCAATCTGAAAACACAGTATTCAGATATTTCTAGTTCATTACCTATTGTGCAGTACGATGTGCAGACAAGCAACAGCTAAACCAAGAACCACCTCTACTAAAGGTGCTATCTTATCAAAGGTAAAAATGAAAGAAGCAAAGGAGCTGGGGAGGGGCAGGAGAGCACAGTCCATGCTTCATCTGAGGAGTAAGTCACTGAGAAAGCAAAAGGAACTCACAACACACTATTGTATTTCCCCCTGTTTTTCCCTGGAAGAAATACTGACAGATAGTTAAAAAAAATAAATCATACCACCCTCTCCCACAGCAAAAGCAAGCCCCCATCAAACTAAAATACACCAGCAGTCCCTGAGGAATGCCAGCCCCATATTCCTCTGCAGGGATTTGTAAGTAGCACTGTCCAGTAAACCAGAACATTAAATGATTAGCAGCAGTGTTAGTTAATTTATTCACTGAAAAAGAGTTCAAGCTGTGTCTCAGGTCTCATAAATAAAGAAAATGCTTATAACTGAGTTACAGGTGGGTGACTCTGAGAGCTGCATGGGATTGTGGGAAAAGCCCTGACTTCAAGGGTCAGAAATAGCATTTTTATAATACAGCTACAGATTTTTCTTCTGAAATTAAATTCTTCTGAGACTTCTTTTGTGGAGTCAGCAAAAACTATTTTAAGTGCAGTTCATCAGCATCCACAAACCTGGCTGCCTGTGAGGCTGCCTGTGCAGGATAAATGGAAGAGAGAGGTAATATGAAATGGTTGAATGACTAAAGTAGAAACAAGCACTGGCTCCATAGCTCTCTGTGTTGCTGAAAAAGATACTCTCACTGGGGGAAAAGGGGTGTCTGTAGGTTTTCCAGAGTCAAAGGCAGAGAAGGAACCGGTGCCCTGGAGAACAGAACCACCTTAGCCTTCAAAGGCTGGCGTTCGCAAACACGGCGTCACCTGTCTGGGATCCCTATGATTTTAAGACCCTGTGTCAAAGGGAACACATGCCATTCGCTGATGCCATAGAAAACCTTAAATTTCAAGTGGGTGTTGATGGGAAACAAGAGGAAGCAATGAGTCTTTGGAGAGCACAGGGGTATCATACAGCATTGCAAAGGGACTTGGTTCTTCTTTATCCTGCGTTCCAATAAATGAACAGCCTCTTTGTCACATTTACTCAGCTGCTTTAGTCACCAGTGTTCAAAATCAAACCATAAGGAACTGAGCTACTCCATTCACCCTTCTTGTCTGAGTTAGAAAGCCTTAGTCAGTGCTACGTCACCCCAGCTAGGGCTGCTTTTGGAACTTGGCCTGCATTGCAGCCAAGGACTACCACAGTCAGCATACAAGGAATGGCCCCTTTGCTGCGATAAAGTGTTTGCTTGAATTTGCTTTCTATTTCTGGTGCTATATTTAAATGGTTGTGGCTCTGTTACCCTCAGAAGGGTGAGAAGCCTAGCTGCATATTCTTAACAGATGTTAAGAATTATAAGGAGCTGCACTACTATTTTCTCTGGGTACTTGCCAAAGTAAGCTCAAAGCATCCCCATGAGCTGCACTACTATTTTCTCTGGGTAGTTGCCAAAGTAAGCTCAAAGCATCCCCACCAATAAGCTGGCATTTAGAAAAGCACTCCAAAACACAGTCACAGCTGCATGATCTTGTCACCAACATTCTTCCTTCCATTCCCCATCCATCAGTGGGATTTGCTGCAAAATTATTAACTGCCTTACCACCATCTGTGCTCAGGTTCCACTAGTAACCCAGGCATTTCAGGAGATCCCAGTCCTGCTCAAGCTATGTCCAATTGCTGCTTGCTGATACAACAGTCCAGCTAAGCAAGCCTGGAAAATGCAACAGGTCACCAAACACTCTCAGAACAAATTAACCTCTAGAAGAACCAGGCACGTCACACCTCAGGAACAAATCAGCTCCTACATAAACAGGTACTTCATGTCCTATCCCACCAGAGTTAACTACTGACAAATACAAGGAAAAGCTTAGGTTAGGCCACAGCTGCTTTACACAGGTTGCTGAACAATAAGTCTTTACCTTGCTTGCTGACAGACACTGCAAATCCAAGCCTTCTCCTTCTTCTCATAAGTACTGCAGCTCTTGCAGATGTTATACTTGCAGTCTTGGCACTGTCGTTTGCTGTTGATAAGAAATGTGAAAGGGGAGCAGCAGCGAATACAGCAGTGCTCGTTGAACTTCTGCTGCTTGGAAAGGATGCTGCATTTGTTACCCTCTTCATCCAACTTCTGCTTCATTTCACTGGAATGAAAAGCAAAAGAACAAAAGTATAAACAAAATTTCAATGAGAAATCTCCCCTTTGCCTTTCTCATATTTCCACATATTCATATTACACTCTTCAAATAACTTCTGAAGATGGGAAATAAATATCGAAATGCATATTCTAAATTTAGAATTGGGAAACAAACCTCCTATGTTCCCTGCAGTCACCCATGGCCATCCATTTAAAATCTCTGAGTCACAAACAAGGGCAAAATTTGCTCAGCTCCAGCAACATAACCCTCAGGGGAGCCAGGCTGCTGCTTCAGGTACTCCAGCTGTCCCAAGCCATAGCATCACTGGAGGATTCAAGGCTGATTTCAGAACGTTTTACAAATCATTAATCAGTTTATGAAAGTCAAAAGGCTTGGTGCACAGTAATAAAAAAATCCTTCTGATCGACAGTTTTGAAAACAAAAAGTTTGCTTTGTTCTGACCCATAAGGTCATATTATTCATACTAGCTCCAGTTTGTCAAGCCAGGTTAACCACATACTTCATTTCAGAGATATTTCGATGCCTTACTGGTTAGGACCAATACTAGGACAATTGCAGACTGTGAAAGTGTTTGCAGACACTCTGTATAAAGTTTCCTGTATTCCAGGAGAAGAGCTCATTTATTAAAAAAACTAAGCTAAAATAAATTGTGTATGCATGTTATTGATTAGTTTGCTATCGCCCATTTTGATATTTACAAATTAGGCTTTTGATATTCATTACATTATTTGATTTTATTACAAATTGCTTTTGATATTTACAAATTAGGCACTAGATTCCATGACAAGAGTAATGAGAAAGCATACAGAAGGAACACTTGTAAAGGCAGACAAGTCTGCAAATTCATCACACATTTTCTGGCATGTACAACTAGGATATGCAATAAAAGAAGGAAAAATTAGAATTAATATTTTAATGTAAAATAAAAGCTTTTAAACCAGTGTGCAATACTTATATTCCTTCATTCCATGTCTCAGAATTAGTGGTGACTACCTTATTATTTCCAATTGCTGATAGAAACCACTTATAAGACTAGAGTAACACAAAAGCCTAAACAAAATTTAAAGGTTCAACAAAACATAGAGTAAGTTGCAGGAAGACACAGTCATGGCCTCCTGACACTTAAATTGATGGTTAAATATCTTGCTACAGAGAAAAAACCAAAACACCTATTGATACTTATGCAGGAACTCAACCAAGATCATCTATAAGCATCATTATGAGCCAAGCCTGGAATGTTAAAAAGGATCATATTACTGGCCTATGCATCACTTTATTTGACACTTCTGCCTCAGATTCATAACTCAAAATAAAACCAGTCTATTTTATGAAAGCCTGACAGGTCAATTCTAAACCTCAAGTCTAAAAGACAATTAAGGCAGTGATCTAAAGCATGTAATTTTTGAACATGCACATACATCACATTTAAGCATATTCCCAATATATGCCTTTTATAAATTTAAAACTTGAAAATAATGTGTGTTTCTATAGTTTGTCCCCTGTACAAGCATTCAATTATCTTTGACTAGCTGCTCAAACTCAAATACTCTTTTGGACTTTCAAGTAAATAATCTTTCTTAATGATTTTTTTTTTTGTACAGATTGCAAAACATGCTTGTTTTTCCTATTTTTACAGAATGTGAAAGATGAAAAATGTAAGAGATTATCACGTAAGAGAGGCAATGTCTGAATTGCGCAAGTTGAACTGGTTTCCTTGTGTGAACTGATAGAACTATCCCACAGATTAAATGGGATGGTCAGACTAGTTTGTCTTATGGCTATTACTCTTTCCTACCATGGTACTACATGGACAATCATTCTAAGGGAACAGGAGAGGAAGTGAACTGTTCCCCACGTCACTCCTCCATCCACAGCATGGATGCTGCTCTGCAGCAATGGAGTGAGACAGAGCAATGTTTGTGCACAGAAGGTCAGGTGGGAAGCCTGGGTCCCAGAAGAGAAGCTGGTGAAGGTGAGGGCTATATGATTCAAGGAGGATTTTGGGCACGGAAAAGTGTCAGTAGCACAAGATGCTGCAATCTTTGCTTCAGGCTGGAGACCCCAGGTAGCAGTTGCTGGCCTCCCCATAACATGAGAACAGCTAAGGAGTTGAGGTCAGGAAGAGAAAGAAGAGATTTTTGTCCTTTTGCAGTTCTATTATCTACCAGAATTAGTAACATCAATACTTGGTAGTATCAGCCTGCACACTCAACATTGGCAAGCTCAGTGGCATTTTGAACCCTCATTAGGACTCTAAAGCATGACAGCAAGATAAACCACAGAAGCAAAGCCACCAATTGAAGTGCTACAGTAATGCTTACACAATAAAAAAAAGGCAGTTTTGTTCACAACAGAGCTAATAAAGCCTGATACCTTAAAAAAGCTGAGCACACACTGAAACCTTTTCATCAGAACAGACATTAATTACATCTCTCTCCTCTATCTGGCTGCCAACATTCATTAGAGTGGTAGAACCTCGATATCATTAAGGCATCTGCCTCAATGTTAAATAGGACTCAAATTGGCCAACGGATTAAAAAAGTAAACAGGATAGGGTTGGACAGGCTGACAGGGAGAAACATGACAGAAAAGGCTTCATTTCCACAGGAAACCAGGCAGAACAGAGAAGAAAGCAATGCACATCCCTCTGACGGCTGTAACAAATTAAGGCTCCCACGCACTCCCTGCTAAAGGCTATTCTAGTTTCTGTAAGGAGTCAAATGGCAAAAGGGACTGTCAACAGGACTTGTCAGTTGAAGCCAAAAGGTTACTCTTCACCCTCTTTCCTTGAAAGTAAAACATGGGTTTCATATGAAAGCAAAGTGCTGCACAACTGGTAGGCAAGCCAATGTACCTGGTTTCAGAAAAATTACTCAACATTAAAAATAGGCTCTGATTTACTCCTGGCAATACTAAGAAAACCTTACTTGCACATGACTCCATCTGGATGATTACTATGATTGGCATGATTAAGGTGGACTTCAATCTTAATACACTGAGAAAGTTTGTTGCACTGAAATTCAGGAGCTGTAAGTTGAAGCTCGAGGCATCCCAAGTTTAAGAATCTCAGACTTTACCTTCAGGATGTTCAAATGGCTTAGTGCAAGATTGTAAGTATGGTCTAAGGAAAGGAGAGCAGACAGCAACACTGATTCTCTCATGCAGTGAAACTCACTTCCAAAAAGATGACAGCCACCTGTCTGACTTTTTCAAAGAAGCAGGCTGAACCACACAGTCATCACAAGCATTCCCCTTTCCTCCCCATGCAACACCATTTCTCTCAACAAAACACTGATGAGGGGAATGGGATGGAGAAAAGAGGGAGAATGTGTGTGCACTCATGTGTGCTTACTTCCCCAAGGAGGGAAGGTAATGCATTTAGAGATGTATATATACAATGTGTGTGCAAATAAGACAAGCAGCAGAAAAAAGACTGCATTAAAAATGTCCCTTCGGGGGAAAGCAGAGGAGAGTGGGAACCACAAATGACAGAATTTATTCTCATCAAAAGTCACAACTGATGGTGCTCAGCTACTATGGGTTATGTGTAACATAGTAATAAGCATCTGTGGAGAAGAGAACTCCTGCTGTTTGAATGAATCTCAGATTGGATTTCATTTTCTTTCTCGAGTGGTTGCATTTCACTGATTGCTTACAAATACAAAAGAAGCAAAAAATATTCAATAGATACCAAACACCACTGTTAGCAAGACTAATTCTGTCAAAGAACATTTTATTGAACTATAAGTTCCAAAATATGCAGATGCATATTTGGATTTTTCCAGAGGCTTATGTCAATTAATCTACACAGCTTGCATAATAAATATGTAATTAATTTCAGTCAATGTTTTGAGTGATAGACTCCTGGCATGTAATTCCCACACACAGTCAGGTTAAGAATATTTTCCAGCATTCTGTTTTGGATGTAGGTTTTGCTATTATCTTCTGAGGGTGAATAGTTGTCTTCCCCTCATCACCCACTATGTTTTTGTGACTTTTAAAAGTATAAATTAAATAGCTTTCACTGACATGGCTTATTTCTTCTTAGTGTCTTAGAGGGTTTTAACCAAATTTGTGAGAAGTATGATATTCAGCTTTTCCAGTTTGTACAGTGAATTACTAATAATATGGTAGATTAGGTATCATGTTATGGTGAAGATGGGCAGCACATTGCAAGGGAGAACATGGCTGAAACGTGGCTGTTGTGCAGACATGCATCATGCCTCACTGCATGACAAGAGCTGGTCAACAACCTCCCTGAAATACTTTGTCTGATGCATCCTCTTTAGACCCTATGAATTGGCACCCCCATTTTGCTTCTACAAAAGTCACCACTTCAGGCTTGCAAATGTAGGACAAAGCCCGGTAAACTGAAGCCTTCCTTGCTCTTCAGTGCCACTGATTTACAGAGTGATTTGTCCAAAGTCATCAGCTTTTTACGTGCTTTGTTCTAGCCGCTGTACAATAGCAGTAACAATAAAAGTCACAATGGCAATAATAAACTTGTCTAGACTAAATATATAGACAAATATATCATAGACTCATTTACATTGGTAAGGACCTCTAAGGTCATCAAGTCCAATGGTTAACGCAGCACTGCTAAGTCGACCACAACTGCTGAGTCTTTTACATATCTCCAAGAGGTGTGACTCAACTACTTCCTTGGGCAGCCTGTCTCAATGCTCAATAACCATCTTGGTGAAGAATTTTTTCCTAATATATAATTTAAACTTTTCTTGGCACAACTTGAGGCCATTTCCTCCTGTCCTATCCTTTGTTACTTGGGAGAAGAGACCAATCCCCACCTCACTGCAGCCTTCTTTCAGTTAGTTGTAGAATTCCATTATAGCATCTTTCATTTAGTAACCAGTGGGGCCTTCTTCCCTGGAGATATTCAAAAGCTGTCTCTGGATACAATCCTGAGTACTGTGCTCTGTGGGACCCTGCTTGAGCAGGGATGTTGGACTCTAGAGGTCCCTTT